GAAGTGCACCTCTTTCCTTACTCCAAGAGTGGAATATTAACCCTTTCACTTTCTTGCCAGGCAGAGTGCACTCCCATCTAATCACAGCAATCCACAGACCTCCTAGTGCATTTGGTTTACTTCAGACAATGCTGTAATTGAGTGAAAGCTTTGAACAGCTTTAATGTCTTTAATTGACTAAGGTGATCAGAAAGCAGGTGGTATATTGTTCAACAAGTCCAGATATGACTAAATACAATAATTATGTGTTTTGGCACTGTAAATGTGTTTTAATTATTATGAATTAACATCAGTTAAAACCACCAGAGCAACCAGTGAAGAGCTGTGTAAATGCTTTTCTTGCTCTGTAGTCTGTATGCTGCAGGTCATGTGAGAAAGTTAGCTGAAATCCAGCATATTGGTGAGGAGGCTCAGGTGTTGCACAGATTTTCTGTATCTTGGATAAACCATTTAGTCTCACTGTCCCCAGTTTCTTCTCATGTTGCTTGCCAATTTGTAAAATACACTGGAAGTAGTGAAGTGCTTTGATCTATTTATTTAGATGGAATGATGTGGAGCAGAGATCGCTTTTTACTGTGTATCCTGAAAGCACATTTGAAACCCCCTTCTCTATCCTCCAGATAAGCAAACACTCACAATATGATATTCCAAGAGGATAGTATTACAGCAGGTAACACTGCACATCGTTAAATAGAAGATGGCAGCTTTCCATATGCCACCTTTCTAGAGGTAATCTAATTAGATTAGAATTCATTACGGGTATGCAGGTTACACAGCACATCCATTGCCCAGATTGCATAACCCAATCTCTCATGTTGCCAGAAGAAAAGAAGCCAAGCAGTTAGTTAACAGCACAATGGTTGTTAGACTGTGTTACCCAAAACCAAACTCTTAGGGAAATTAAGATGAAATAAATTTCACAAATGACTTGTACTTATTTATATTATTAACTATCATCATTATGTTCCAAAGAAGAAAAATATAATTCAAGAATAACTCACCAGAAGAATACAAAGGGATCTTAGCAGTAAAAAAAAGGCTTGTTAGATTTCAGAAAACAGAAAGAAACCTTAAGTTATCTGAATGCAGTTTTTGATTATTTAAATTTTTAATGAAAAATAATTTTAAAAGCCAACATGAGCTGTCTCACGCAAATTGATTTCTTAAAACATTTTAAATCATTTGGACGCTTCACTTTTGTCTGTGTTGTTTCTTCCTTTTATTCCCTCAGCACCTTCCCCTCTGCCTGTGCAGATCAGAGTAGCTGCCTTCTGCAGAACAGCAATCTCATTTTGTTTACCTTGTGTTTCAAAGAGAATTGAACAAGCCCAGGATTCGCCTTCTCTAAACAAATACTGGCAAGACAAAGGTATCACAGCTATTCTAGGGACAAGAGGTTTGTTGAGACGGAGAACAGTAAAGACTGGCAAGGAAAAAAAGTCAATATGTGTTTTTATCTGAAAAAAAGTTAATCCTTTTCACAGCCTCATTTTCTTTGCTTTTGAGATAGCTCTCCTTTTTCATTTAAGTTTTAGAGTTTTTTAGCTAAAGGAAGCAAGAAACCGAGATATTTTCTTTGTTCCTGTCAAGTAGCTTGAACAGTTTGAGAACAGAAACCAGTCAGAGCAGTGTGATTAGCGTAGCCAATTAGGGTGGATTTGCATATTCACAACACGGCTATTGAGAAATAATTCTGCAGAGATAACGCAAGTGTGGCAATGCCTGTCTGCCAATCAGAGCACCCTGGCTCCCATGCTATATGGTAATTGAGAAATAACCATAGAGCGATTCTGCAGATTGGACACCCCGAGCCAATCCACGTGCTGACGCTACGCAGCTGGGGAAGAAAGTGCATTTGTAAGGCAGTAGCAATACGATACCCCTGCCCACTGGAAAAGGTTAATCTGCAATCCATTTACCTAAAATGCAACAGCATCTGTCAAATGAGTCTATTCTTCCAAGATTCTTTCTAGCTACGACTTGTGCTAACTGCCGCTTTCAGAGGCCCAATCTCATCAGGAGTTTGGGGGACTTGGCCTTTAATGAGATGGCCGTTGGCCAAGGACTGAGTGCCCTGCAGCCCCTCCTGCCCTTCAGCTCAGCCAGTGGTCCATGGGCATGGCAGGGTGTTAGATGGTACACTACAGAAGGTGAGCTTTGCGCAATGGCCTAAAGGATGGGCAATAAAGCTCTCCTTCCTTCCGCCCCAAATGGCCTCTCACCAGGGTGTTATCCAAGGACCAGGCAAGAAAGCAAACAAACAGCCCTTCAGGAAACCTTGTAGACTCTGTTGGATAACAAACTGGGGCGGATGATCACAGCAGCTTTATTATCTCTGAAAGTGAAAAATCACCTTATATACTACAGCGACAACAATCCGTGCTCCATCTCAATGTTTCTCTGCTTCCCACCACTTGTCATTTCTTACCAACAACTGCATCGCTGCAAACGTTCAGGTGAGCATGACTGTGGCTGAGCGGGTGGCGCGCAGAGCCAGCTGCCACCCTGTGCCATGTAACCTGCATCCTCAGGATGCTGTTTTCTTACCAAGTGATTGGCTGCAGTGTGCAGCATTCATGTGCGCTGATTTTAGAAAGAAATATGGTGATCTCTATCCTTAATGCTCTTGACTCCTCTTTGGTGCTGGGGGCTAAAGTCATGGTGTGCAGTTGCAACAAATTGGATCAGGAGGGACTCCCTGGAGCATTCTCCCAGGTACAACTACACAGGCCGCATTCACTTTCAAAACTGCTAAGGGAAAGGCAACAACACAAAAATTAACTTGTGGTATTCACTGCTACAAGATATTGAAAAAAACTTAACAAAATCCCTAAAATTAGACCATTACACAAATCGTAAGTTTATAAACTGGTATCATATCCACCAGGGTAAAGACTATGAGCTCCGAACCTCCATGCCACAAAGAGGCATTAAGCACATTTAGTTGGGGAGAAATGTCTCCCTCCAGGAAGATATATTTTTTTATGATCATCCATGATAGGGTTTTATACCTATCTCTGGAATACTCACTGCTGGTTTATCTAGTCCAGTAACCTATGTAAGATTTTTTTTTTAACGGTCTCAGTCTATGAGTATCCACAATTGTCTCTTTCCTTCCTATCCTTTTTGTGGCACCAGCTCTTTATTAGAAAGTTAATAAACTTTGTATATGTTCTAAAGATAATATTGAAAACTGCAAATTGTGTTCTGCATTTTATAATTGGTGTGGAAAAAAGCGGGAGATCTAATCCTATTGGGCCTTCTCTCTCTTTTGCGCTCTCTCTCCCTTTTTCCCTTTTGATGGTAAGCAGCAAATTTTAATTAGCTTCATTTCCACAATTCAGTCATGCATATGTAATCTTTGTTCACACTTTTATAAAGTAAAATTAAGTGAAAGAAATTGGGTAATAATAGAAAGCTTGTCTGAGCAGAACAAATATGAATTACCAAACATAAGGAAAGATGACTGGGACTACAGGGCTTGAAGTTGTGCAAGGTTTGAGGTGATTTTTCTGAAACACGAATGCATAAATAATGCATAGAAACAGGTGCTGATTATCCTGTTTTGGGCATCTTTTGTTCATTATATACTTGGGCTGCTGAGGTACAGTGATAACCACTGAATGTGAGGAGACTGCTTAATAACAGCTTTCTAATGTTGCTCTTTTATCATGAGCTGAAAGTGTCACATGAGCTTGTCTAGTTAATAAAAATCACATTGTGAACACACTGTTCTTAGATTTGGTATTGGAGCAGATTACTGTACTGGGCCTCTCTCTTGATTATAGCTGCAAAAGCTGTTCTGCCATTTTGCGTTGTAATTTAAAGGTTTCCTAATCCATATACACACCCTCTACCTAAATGTTTCCAGGGGTTACCTTAGGAGCCTTCAGTGCTATGATTTGAAAGTAAAACTAAAGAGTGCATTAAATTCATTCCCCCTGGGGTGAGACACAGGAGGGGGGAAGTACCTTTTCATCCCCTGCTAGTCCAGATTATTTGAAAGCATGGGCATGACTGGGATTACTACTTCATTATTTTTGTTATATAACATGAGAAGATGAAAATTTAAAGGAAGACAATCAATGTGTCTAAATCTAGAATTCAGCTTATTTTATAACTTCTGAGAAGACTCTTTACAGTCTAAACAGTTATTTTAAGAAGCTACCGGTTCATTAGCAGCAACTAAAAACCAGAACCTCCTGTTGATGTAAATCAGTCTGTGGCTGCGCAAGCTGCGTAACAAACACTGCTGCGGCAGATGCCGAGGTCTTCATTAAAGGAAATGTAAAGTAGTGAAGCATGTTGGCATTAGCGCATACAGAAGTAAAGTCTGAAGCCCAGTTAATGTTAAACTCACAAGCAGATACTTTTTCTTCAGCACCTGTTCACACATTCAGCCTGACCCCACCAGTCTAACAGCTTTAGGAGAAACACCTCCTTTTGTCTCTGAGAAGGAGCTCCAATTACAGGAAGTGAATTTCAGACTTGGGTGGTTTTCTTTTTTTTTTTTTTCCTAAACCCAGTCACTGCTTTGCTGCCAGAGACTAGGGATAGCCTAGATTTAGTTAATGGTTAACAGAGCAGCGATAACCACACAGAAACTCTGACTTCCTTCTGCTGGGGCCAGGACCAAAAGCTGCCTTTGCTTGCAGAGCAAGAGGCAAGCGTTGAAAGGAGAGCAGTTCACACTGCAAAGGGCTGGAAAACGGCAGCTTCACTCAGTAGAGAAAAGAGCAGGAAAATCCAAAAGGAGCAAGAGGAATTTGCCACAAAGATAGGTAAGAGCTGAAACGCTTTCCTGCTCGGCTTATTGACTCAGTGGCTGTTTCTAACAAAACCCACAGGTGTGGCTAGTTGAGACTCGTTGTACCTGACTGCTCTGACCTGTGCATCTCGGTCAGAGGGGCAAAGCGAGAAAGGCTCTATTTGCTGTGAATTTGAACGTCAGAGAGGGCAGGAAGGCTCTTCCTCCCTCCCCCCCGCCCTGGGGGCTGCTCATGGCAGGACAGACGTCCCCTTCAGACTGTTCTCATCTCATTGACCACAGCCACATCCCTGAGTTTGAGGTGTCTACTTGGATCAAGATCACTTTGGCTTCAGTGTATGTCTGCATCTTTGTTGCGGGCATCTTGGGCAACAGCATCACCATCAAGACCACCAGGATCCTGCAGAAGAAAGGTTACCTGCAGAAGGAGGTCACGGACCACATGGTGAGCCTGGCCTGCTCTGACCTGCTGGTCATCCTGCTGGGCATGCCCATGGAATTCTTCAGCGCCATCTGGAGCCCCTTTTCCACCCCCAACGGCAACATGGCTTGCAAGCTCTACTACTTCCTCTTTGAAGCCTGCAGTTATGCCACTGTGCTGCATGTGGCCACCCTCAGCTTTGAGAGGTACGTGGCTATCTGCCACCCCTTCAAGTTCAAGGCAGCCTCTGGACCCCGCAAGGTGAAGCTGCTCATCGCCTTTGTCTGGGGTACATCTGTCATAGTGGCTCTGCCGCTGCTCTTTGCCATGGGCACAGAATATCCCCTGGAAACCATTGAGGGCTACCAAGGCATGACTGCCTGCGTCAAGCCTATGCCCAAGCACCACCTCCCTGAGCTGAAGTACAATATGACCATCTGTACCAGCCTCTCCTCCAAGTGGCCTGTCTTTCAGGCCAGCATCTTCAGTGCCTTTGCTGTGTACATTATAGTGCTGGGATCTGTCACCTTCATGTGCCGCAGCATGATGAAAACCCTGATGATCCACAAGGAAGGAACTGTGGCAGTGAAGGGTGGACTAAGACACCAGGAGCAGTACCTAAGAAAAAGTGAGAGCTCAGAGGCCAAGAGCTCGAGGCGACAGATCATTTTATTCCTGGGTAAGAGCCCTGTCCTACTCCGCCTCCCCTCCCCTGCCCCCTTTCCACATGGGAAGGAAACCCAGAAGCCTCCATTTTCTCTCACCAAGTTCCCCCAAATGGGGGATGTATGGTTTGAAACTGGTGCAAAATGAGGGAGAAGGATACTTTTGGTCGCGATGATATATTTTAAGAAACGTGATTTCCCTGCGTGTTTTTGACTCACTTTAACAACTCTTGTTGTTAGAACAGGTGGGAGGGAAGAAGGCAAAATCCACTTACTCTCTGCTATTTATGTCGTTTGATTATACTGCATGCCTACACGCAGCAATATGGGTAACAGGGTATTGCTGCTTGACCTTTGGGGTAGCAGTAGGCAACAGTTGCCTGGATATAAAGTAGCTCTACTTGCATGTTTTCCCATTAAATTACAAATATGTGCATGTTTAGTAAGGCTCTTGAAGGGAGGGAAGACTGTCTTGCAAGATCTGAAGCTTGTCCCACTCCGAAGGCATGTCCTAGTTAATTCAAGATGCTCCCTGAAGGGTACTTATTTAGCCCTGGCGGTTGTGGCTGTGTTGCATCCGAGTGTTAAGAAAGCTGGACTGGAGAGTTGATTTGGTCTTGCAAATTGCTGTTGCCCTCTTTGAATTTTTTTTCCTGGTTTTATTTGAAGGCCTATAACCTTGGAATTATGTTTGATTCTGATCTCTCTCGCCACATTTGTCAGACAAAAACTAATCAAGCTGTCATTTCCCCAACTTGGAATCTTTCTGGGCTGTGATCCATGTAGTCTCCACGTTTGTTGATACTCTTACAGGCACCCTTAATCATGCCCTGGCTGAATTACTGCTAGTTCTTGTTTTGTTGGGTTGCTTAATATGATACTGGATATAATAAATGAACCATCTAGAGTATGAATGCACAGTAGACCTGGTATTCTGTGTTGCTTTTTGGTGCTGTGCTTGATATTGCAGAGGGGGAATTGAAACTCGTGGGTCTGTCCAGTTCTACTTTAAGTACTTTTTTTTTTTTTTTTTTTTTGAGCATTCTCTGCTTCCTCATCTAGTCCTGCTTTTGCCATAGTCTATGGTTGGGACGTGAAGCTGCAGGGTAAAGAGCCCAGGGTGCACCCAGCTCCTTTTATGCTGCACCTGTATTAGAGTTGGGAACACGGTGAAAACCTGTCATACAGACAAGGCATATGACTCAAAGGTTTGGGGAAAAAAAAAAAACACTGTACCAGCAGAGAGGTTCAAAGGCTTCAGATGGGAAGTGTGATACTCCAGGATGTACAGAGCTCTTCCTCATGCTCAGGGTGTACATCTAACGAAGAAATCATCTCCTTGTGCAAGGCGTCTGTTAGTCTGGGACGACAGGCTGCATATCTGGGTGATTGAAAGGACTCTCAGTATCCTTACTCCACCAAAAGTACTGATTTCTGGGGTAGAGGCTTAGAAGGCTTCAGATGGGAAGTGTGATACTCCAGGATGTACAGAGCTCTTCCTCATGCTCAGGGTGTACATCTAACGAAGAAATCATCTCCTTGTGCAAGGCGTCTGTTAGTCTGGGACGACAGGCTGCATATCTGGGTGATTGAAAGGACTCTCAGTATCCTTACTCCACCAAAAGTACTGATTTCTGGGGTAGAGGCTTAGCAGCTAATGCTAAATACAGCATGTTGCACAAAGCAGAAAAAGAGATAAGGCTCTGCTCTTTAAGTGCTACTGTGGGATCCTTAAATGTCTGTGGATCTCTCTCCCCTTGTAAATTACCATCCACAGCTACATTAAAGCCCAGCCTAAGATCCAAATCCTGTAGCAAGTTCTAGCTAGGTTGAGAGATGAAGGTAAATTGCCATGGCTTTTCTTCCCCTCATTGATTATTGTTTTTGCTTGGCGATGGTCTAAAGTGGAATAGGGCAGACCTAGTGCTGCTTGCAGAAGTGTTAAAAAGCTAAATGAAAGTGATTGGCTTGTCCTTTATCTTAAGAGAATTTACCCCCAGTATCTGGCGCTTTCTCTGTGCTCTCAGCTTTCTGGAGCCGGTAGGTACTTCTGTGACTTCCCTAAAATTATTTTAGTGGCAAGACTCTTAATATGAGTCTTGCTAATTTACTTGAGTTGGGAAATAAATTAATAAACTGAGGAGGAAGAAACTGTGGCCCGCATCCCTGAGAACAATGCAAAGCAATTTAATTTGGAGATTTCATAAGAGTGATGCTTTAGGGCAGTTTTAACCCAGAAGAAATGAACATATAAATTGTTTACAAATCGCTGAATTTAAATATAGTGATTTAGAAGTCCTCTTTGTTTTTCATTTAACAGATGGGTCAAATTAAAACAAATACTTGCGCATTCCCAACATATTTCACTTTTAATGTGAAATGTAAATGACAGTATATAGCATAATGTCTTTGAACATCTAACAGCAATAAAAACAATTTAGCATTTTCTTCTTCTAGTTGTTAAAAGTGATAAGTTCTATAAAACAGAGATTAAATTCATAAATCTCCTGACGATGAGAAAAAGCTAAGTAGGAGACACAAGAAGGAACTAACGCTTTTTTAGTGTCATGTTATTGTGTGGCACTTGAGAAAATTCACGAAAAGAATTGTAAATGTTGGAAGTGAAAGACTACTTGCTGTAGGTAATATTGATGCTTGCAGGATGGGCTCCAGATGGGGTGACCCCACTGCTGTGATGGAGGAGGAAGGTGACGAGGGGCCAAGCAAGGAAAGCACCACTGTGCTGGGCAGGCTAAGCTCACGTGGGGAAGAACTTTTATCCAAGGAAGGTGGCTGCAAGGTTCAAATATTTCAGCTTAAAGCCCAGATGGTCTAGTTGGGGATTTGAAGTCCTTGATATAGAGATGTCAGTTCCTTTTGTTTCTGGCTACCTTGCTACGCTCATGATGGAGAGCAGGGACTGGCCCAGTGGCTGCAATAACAACTCTATGCCTGGTGTTGGGGAGGGATTACTGTTCAGCTCAAATTTTGGTAGATTTGCCCCTGTGGAGGAATGCAAATTTGTCCCTGTATTTTGGAGAAAATAAATTCTGTTTTTATAAAGTAGGCTGTGCAGTGCTATTCCTTCCAACTTCCTTCCCACTATTGCTGTTGGCTTCAAGAAAAACATGATAGCACATGTTAGTCTGCTTAATGCTCCTGCTCCTGAAATTAGGCATTTTGTGCTTTTGGATAGAGTGGGGCATACTTCCCACAATCTCTGTGTGTGTGATTTATTTAATCATCTTCTGAGCCATGTGGTAAAATTTCACTGCCTCCAGTGGGTCAGCCCATCCATATGAGCAGCATAGGTCAGACTGGTTGACACTGTGTGGGTTACCTATATTTGTTGTTGTTAAAGCAGCTTTGTTCATGTCGGGCTAGCAGATCTTTCTTCTAGTGTTGTTCTTCACTTCCTCTAGTGAAGGGCTACATGGATCTGGATGAGTGTGGCCTGTCATGAATAGCAGAGAAAATATAGCCGAACTTAATTTTTTGAGTGGTTCATGGCAGCATTTGGTAATAAAAGTTTCTCCATTCCCAGCAGCAGAAACTGGATAGCTATAGTGCTTATGAAAATACTTGGCTGATGGCACTTTGATGAAATGCAAGCTTTTAACGGTATTTAAAACCTCCTAATGCTTGACCCACCCGAAGAGGGATTGATTCAGTCTTTGTGGCTGCTTGTTCTTGTCTTTCTCCTGTGACTGTAAAGGGCAGGGCAGTGATCAGAGGGCTACCTAAATGGTCACGAGGTGCCGCTGGGGACCTCTTGCTGCTCCAACACCTGAGCTCAGGCCCCTGCCACTGTAGCAGTGAGCTCTTAAGAAAGGGTGAGTTTGGAGACTTACATGTGTTATTATATATATTATAACTGGGTTATAGCAAACAAAGAAGGAGAATGTAGTGGAAGGATCCTGTAAAAGAGAGAACCAGCTAGTGCAATAATTATAAATCTTAAAAAAAGAAGGCACTTTCATAGCTGAAACTATGTAAGTTAAAAATCTTTAGGAAATGTTAACAGGTGGCCTGCTCACTGGGAAAGGGGAGCAATGTGGGACAAGCCTCCATGCAAGCTGCTGGTGGGGTGGGCTTTGGCACCAGCGGCTCCATGCCAGCAGTGCCTGCTCACTGGCCATGGCTACATCCTTCTTAATCTGGTCAATAATATAAAGCAACATTTATACAAAAGCAGTTATATGGTTTGTCATCAGAGAAGATCTTTCTGACCTGAACTTGTACTCTACAATAAAGTGAATTTTGATTATCCCAGATGAAAAATTTATTGCTTCTAAAGCTTCTGTGATATTTCCCTTGGCAGCTTCAGGTTTGTGCTTCTGCTAAAAGCCTTAATTATTTTGTATAAAGCAGCCTCAAGCCTACCACAGTGAATACGTTGAAATAAAAAAGTCCTTTAGTGTTGCTACATCCTCTGCTTTTCTTTGTATACACTGCCAGTTTGTCCTTTGGAGCAATACTCTTGTGTTTGCACAGCAGAGGGGTCCCACTGTGTGGGGCTAGGCACTGTGGGTGCTTTGCTACTTGCCAGCCAGTATCTGGGCAGCGCTTTTCTGTCTCCTGACTGTGATGAAACGTCCATCCATCTCGAGCTCTTCCTTCCAGAAAAGAGAAATATCAAAGTAATCTGGCTGCTATGAAGGTGTTGACGTAGATGCATTAAACCACTGCTGTAGCTGCAACAGTTGGCAACAGCCAGAGCTGCAGCTGGACCTACCTAACTGGAGACCCTGCTGCTACCAGCCTGGCTCCACCAGCTCCCCCATGCCAAGTGGGCCAGATAATTCTCTCTGCTGTCTCTTTCCCATCACTTACAGAACTGCAGCTTTTCTGCTTTGGGACCTTCTGATGCAAGATGAATTTTACCTACATGCCTGGACAGCATATATCCTACAGCTTCTTTAATGAGCAGGGAAGGGAATTGCTTATCATAATCTAAGGCAGTGCCTCCATCTGAGAAAGGCAGTGCCTCCATCTGAGAAAGGCAGTGTGGTGGTGTTGGTTTTTTTTTTATTTTCCTTTGGTCTAACGCTTAAGTATGTCAAATACACTGAGTGTCAACCTGAAGACAGTAGCAGTGGTGGTTTCTTGTGATGTGGTATGGTACAGGTAGCTTCAGGTCTGGTCTGC